GGCGGGCCCCAGTCACCGGGTCGCTGGGGGTCTTGGGACGGGAGGCAGGAGAGGAGGACCCCTAGCCCTCCGGCCAGACTAGACTCGGGCCTGCCGCGGGGGCTGCCCCATCGCTCCGGGCGACGGAGCGCTGCCCCGCCCATCTCCGTGTTCGCCGGACCCCGGAACCCGCCAGCCTCCCGCGCCCCGGAGGCGCTGAGCGGAGGAATGCTGCGGGCCCTCTTCCTCCGCGGGCCCTGCTGCTCCTGGCCGGTGGTTCTGGCTCTTCCCTCCTTCCACACCAGGTCGGGGGGGCTCGGCCTGCTCCGCCCTCCACAGAGTGGATGAACACCTTGGACTTCTGATTTGCAGGAGGTAGTCGCCAAGGTGAATCCTGGCGATAAAAGGAATGTAGCCTCTGGCCAATCGAGCTGCCAGGTCTGAGCATCCCCAGGAGCAGAGGGCTTGGCCATGAAGAAGCACCCAGGATTGGTGTGAAGCTTCCCTCTTGGGCGCCAAACTTGGGAGAGTTTGTGATGCACTTCTCAACCACCAAATCTCGGGGACTGTGCCTGCAGCCTGGGCCCAGGGCTCAGGCAGTGCTGTGGCCTCGCTGCCAGATCACCGGTGAACAGTCTTCTCCAGACAGTCGGAACGGGAAGGAACGGGTTAGGAGGAGCACTGCTCAGGCCTAGGGATAGAGCCGGTGGCCTCACCAGACCACGGGATCTTTGGACAAGCCGAGAGCCACCGGGCACTGGAAAAGGCCTCGGCTGCAACTTAAAGCTGGTAAAAAGCAAGCCTGGCCCAGGTAAGCGGAGGAAAACGGGAGTGCAAAGCCAATCACGACCAAGAAGGGTCCCAAGGGACACTCGGGCAAAAGCACCCTGTGCCCCATGCCCCCAGCTCCTGACGCTGGGCCCGGAAACCAGCAGAGGCTTTACCTTCCCTCAGTGTGCCTTGGCTCTGCCCGGCAGCCGTGTCCTTCACCATCAAATATTGCGGGTGTTATCATAATACCCTGAAGGGGGGGAAACCGGGTCGGGGGATGTAGGCGGTGCTGAAATGACCGGCTTTGAAGAACCTGCAGGCAAAGTTTCGTCCAATCGTCTGAGCCTGTCCTCTTATCCCCGGTTGTAACTAAATACTGCTGCGAGCGCAGCCGAAGCCCTTTGTTGGAGATGTGTGAGCGCAGTCTTTACAGAGCGGGCTATGTGGGCTCGCTTCTGAATCTGCAGTCGCCCGACTCCTTCTACTTCTCCAACCTGCGGCCGAATGGAGGCCAGCTGGCCGCGCTTCCCCCCATCTCATACCCTCGCGGCGCGCTGCCCTGGGCCACCACGCCCGCCTCCTGCGCCCCTGCGCAGCCTGCCGGTGCCACCGCCTTCGGCAGCTTCTCGCAGCCCTACCTGGCTGGCTCTGGGCCTCTTGGCTTGCAGCCCCTGGGCGGCAAGGACCGGCCCGAAGAGCAGGCCAAGTTTTACACGTCCGACGCGGCCTCTGGGCCTGAGGAACGTGGCCATGCGCGGCCCCCTTTTGCCCCCGAGTCTAGCCTGGCCCCCGTGGCCGCTGGTCTCAAATCGACCAAATACGACTACGCAGGTGTGGGTCGTGCCACGCCAGGCTCCGCGGCCCTGCTTGAGGGGACCCCCTGCGCCGCCGGCTTCAAGGACGACTCCAAGGGCCCGCTCAACTTGAACATGACAGTGCAGGCAGCGGGCGTCGCATCTTGCCTGCGGCCTTCGCTGCCCGACGGTAAACGGTGGCCACGCTCCCTGGGCCGGTATGGGCCGGAATGGGAGGTGGGATGCAGGGGAGAGTGTGTAGGGGGAGGGAGCCTCGGGGGTGGGCAGGCGTCAGGGAGCGGGCTGGGCTGACCTGGGCCGGGGCTGTGTTGCAGGCCTGCCGTGGGGGGCGGCCCCCGGGAGGGCTCGCAAGAAGCGGAAACCCTACACCAAGCAGCAGATTGCAGAGCTGGAGAACGAATTCCTCCTCAATGAATTCATCAACCGGCAGAAGCGCAAGGAATTGTCCAACAGGCTGAATCTCAGCGACCAGCAGGTCAAAATCTGGTTCCAGAACCGTCGTATGAAGAAGAAGCGGGTAGTGCTGCGTGAACAGGCGCTGGCGCTATACTAGCCCCGGGCCTCCCCACGGCCCGGGCCTTCCTTTTGGAGCCCAAGTCTGGCGTGGAGGAAGAGCTGGGACTGGGGCTTTTCATTTTGCTCCGTCTCAGCTGGTCCTAGGTACCCTCCCGCTCCATCTGCAGCCCCAAAAGCCAGCAGGAGATTTGGAGACCTGGCCAGTAGTGCCTCCACTCTTTCCCCTTTCCCGGGAGGGGCTGTGCAAGTAGCAGTACAACCTTGGCCTTGAGGCTTTCCCAGTGGGGGCCTAGGGTCACCCGTCTTAGCTTTTGGCTGAGGCATTTACATCTGGGCTCACTCCAGCTCCCTTTTACTTGGATTTTGGCTTTCACAGTTAGTCTCCCTTTCCCCTCCTTTCCAATTATTTCTGCATTTAGCAGGCACCTAGCTAGAACTCCGAGTGGAATTGAATTTAGGAAGGCCACTAGGGTGGAGTAGAAAGGGCTGTGGGCACAACTGTGTCTCTTTGCAACCAAAGCCCCTTGTGGAAAAGCCAGAATCTTGATTCTGGAGAAAGGAAAGGGTGCCACCACCACTCCCTCCTGTCTGCACTGGCTGGTTCGGGAGGACAACAGCCACCCTAGATCTTCAGACTGTGGGAAGAAAGGGGAAGGAGTGTGGTCCCACAAACTTGGAAACACCTTGGAGTTCAGGCTGAACTGGCTCCTCCAGCTGGGCAGAATGGACTGGATACTTCCTTCCCATGAGTGGGACAAGGGAGGCTGGGGCTCCATGACAAACTGCACTTCCTAGCCAAGACTGGTAAAATTTCCCTATTTCTCTCACCCCCTCACCTGTGCCTAGGCCAGAGCCCTGTGATCGGTAACTGGACCCCTAGAGCTGAGCTCTCAGGAGGAGCTGCTAGTCTGCACTAGAA